ACGACACGACACGGACGACACAACACAACGACAGACGGCAACGACACGAACAAGTCGCACTAACCTCTCCGCGGCGTCGTGTGGCGTCGTTCGGCGTGGCGCTCCCATCCTGCTGCACGCATTCTGACAGTCACAGTCTTACTGTTCACTTAATCGCAGTTCTGAGCTCGATAACGACGTCAGCGTCAGACGGGGGAGACGTACTCTAGTCGTTTGCAATGGTCCCTAATCAGTCTCTATATTGGCACGCTACGCGTCGCTAGGCCGAGGGGCGCTTCCTGAAGACGCGGCTGAGGACGGCGCCCAGGCGAAACGAGTTGCTCTCCACCCGCGACTCGAGCTGGATGATGTTGGACATGGCGGTGACGTAGTCGCGGTACGCCTGGTGCTCGGACACGCCCAGCACCTGCTTGTTGGCGATGAGGAACACCTCCGGGTGCAGCGTGCGGCGCAGGCGCAGCCCCCGCGACCGACACAGACTGGCGAGCTGGTCCGGCTCGCGGCCCAGCTTGGGCAGGCGAGTGGTGGCCTGGAAGCGGAGGCCGCAGCCCACGTCCCACGGCCGGGCCAGCAGGAAGCCCAGCTTGGGGTCGCGGGCGAAGTGGCAGCCGGCCCTCTGCAGCCCGAGGACGCAGTCGGCGGCGCGCCGGTACACGTCGCCGATCTGGCCGCCGCGGCCGTCGGCGCTGGCCGCCATCACGCGCACGTGGTCGTGCACGTTGATCCAGGCCACGAGGCTGGCCAGGCTCGCGTCGCCGCTGACGAACACGCCGCGGCCCGCGGGCCAGGTGCGGCCGTGCAGGCGCCGCAGCCGGTCCTCGTCGCCCTCGCGCTCGCGGGGCACGTACGGCCAGAGGCGCGCGCGGCGCAGGCGCTCCTTGGCCGAGGGCGGGATGTCCGGGAAGGAGAAGTACTCGCCCGCGCCGCGGTAGACGCCGTTCTGGGCGGGCGAGCCGTTGGCCACCAGGCTGAGGCTGAGGCGGCGGGGCGTCTCGCGCACGCACACGGGGCCCTGGTGCTGGCCGTCCATCTTGAGGAGCGCCCGTCGGAACGCGTCCTCGACCTCGGCCAGCTGCGCCTCGGTCAGGTCGAGCGGCAGGCGCACGTCGGTGAGATTGCGCGCCACCTGCACCACGCTGCGCAGCACCACGCGCCCGCCGGGGTCGATGTCGAGCGACCGGCTCAGGTGGTTGTCGGAGCGCAGGCGGAAGATCGCCGACTGCGAGGACGGCGGCGGTGGCAGCGGGGTCGGCGCCGTGCCGTTGGCGTGCTTCGCCAGGCCGCCGCCCTCACCGACCTCGTCCACAGACTGCGTGGCGCGCATCCCCGCCGGCTCCTCGTAGAACTGCGACGGCGGGTGGTCGCGCAGCGGGGCGCGGATGTCGAGCCCGTTGAGCCACTTGATGACGGGCAGCATGACGGCGCCGAACACGGCGTACGACTCGAGGTCCGGCGCCACGAAGCCGGCCTCGTCCATGTACGAGTCGCGGGTGCGGCTGGCGTAGGGGTTGCCGTTAGGCGCCACGGGGTCGCGGTGCTGGTCCTGCTGGTCCAGGATGGCGGGCCAGAGCACGTCGATGATGCTGTGGTCCATGCGCGTGAGCGTGCGCTTGCACTGGTCGAACACGTGACGCGGCAGGAAGCGCAGCACGGCGGGTCGGTCGCCGCGGGCGCGGTCGGCCGGCGCCTCGGGCACCTCGCGCAGGTCGCGGTACGCCACGACGAGCCGCGGCGGCATCCCCTCCGCGCCCGTCGGGGCGTCCTCCCGCTGCTCCACGCCCTCGTGCAGCAGGCGGAAGCAGCGGTCCATCAGCGCCATGGTGTCGGCGGCGTGCACGTCGCGCCGCGAGGACACCTTGTCGTTGTCCACTGCGCGAGCACGACTTAAAGGCACGTAGGGGTGGGGAGGGGAGGGGGGAGGGACGGGGGTTCTATGCACAGTGCGCCAGTCTACCAGCTAAGGGAGTGTCCTTCACTGTTGAAAAAAAAACAACAACTAGATCTCCCGAAGATTCGCCCAACCATTTTGTAAATCCTATAAGATGTAATTTTCTATATTTCAAGTAGTTGTAACGATCGTTAAAGAAGACGCGTCAAGGTGCGCCCATGCGTTTACAAGCCTAGTTCGACAGCTAAAGTGGCCTTCGTCAACTCTCACTACCGTTTGCGATTATAGCACCACTACAGAGGCCGCTGGGAAATCTCAAAGGACTTTGGCAATTTCATTCACGACTACTACTTCTTCGTGAGATCCCAGATTTAATTTTTTTTGAACGGTGCAGGACTGTGCTCGGGATAGTGTCACTTCACGGGGTCGCCCACGATATCTCTCGGGGTGCTGCCCCAGGCAGGCTACCTTACCTTTGTCGCTGAACATCTCGTCCGCGATGCTCTCCGGCTCGCCGATGTCAGCGAGCAGCTGGCGGTGGGTCAGCGTGTTCGGATTCTGCAGATAGAAGTCTGCCGTGGCCCCTCTCTGCAGGGGGAAAGCAAGACTTGCGTCGAGGCGGCCAGGACTGGCAGGGCACATGGGGGGCCGATGGCCCCCCACCGCTAATGAAAAGGGTTACCCACCTTGTCTTTGAGCGCGCGGTTGGCACCAAGATTAAGCAGCAGGTTGTAGTAGTGGGCGTTGTCGGCAAGCACGGCGGCGTAGTGCAGGGCCGTCCTGCCTCGGAGGTCGCGGGCCGACAGCGTCTCGGGGAAGCGTCCGGACAGGTACCGCACCACGGCCGTCTGACCCAGGAGCACCGCCAGGTGCAGGGGCGTGCAAGCTGACTGTGACCGGCGGTCGCGCGCCACGGCGAACTTGCGTCTGTCCAGCGCGGCCTGCAGCCCGCGCAGGTTGCCGGCCCGCGCAGCGTCGTGCACCGCTCGGATCTTGGCCTGCCGGGCATGGGTACGGGGGTCAAAAATGGTGGACCGCAAGACCGACGACCTCCAAGCCTCGTCAGACTCACCATGTAACTCGGCACGTGGTCCAGGAAGCTCTGCACCTCTGGGTTGCTCGAGTTTTTGTTCAGTAGGCGGTCGCCCTCCCCGTTCAGCACCAGGTCGGCCAGGACGCCCAGGTCGCCGCGCGAGATGTGCGCGTCGAGCTCGTCATCCGTCATCTGCCCCGGATCTCTGGGGTACCTTTCGTCGTCGTCCTCGCCCACGCCCTCGTCTTCCTCGTCCTCGTCCTCATCACCTCCGTCGTTCCCCAGAAGGGTGGCCTGCGGCCGCGGCGTCGGCGGTCGCGCGCGGACATCTCCTCGCCCCTGCATCAGTTGGAGGGGGCCGTCCTTGAGTCGGCTGCCCCTGCTTACGGGCGCCCCGCGAGTGGGGCTCCCACCGCACCCCATCCTCTTCCCGCTCCACCCCACCCCCATTCCGGACCCTAACTTCCTGTATGCCTAATAAAAAGCATAGTGAATCGGTCCGATAGTTGTATCGGTTTGGCTTGTCTGGCTGTCGGGGGCGGCCGAGCGCCGTCCCCGCGCCAGGGTCAAGGTGAAGAAACACGTCCATCTAGACCTCTCGGTATAGTGTTCGGCGCACTTCTGCAGCTGACCCTCACCCTCATGTTCTGCCCCGAGTTTTCATGCTGGGGGGTAGGGTTGGGATGGGACACAGAGGTGAGGGGAGGGTGTCGGGTAAGAGCAACACTGAACCCATTTGTTGTGACTTTTGTGACACACACACACATTCACGAGACAAACTGAAACACGTTACCTCCTCCGCCTTGTCCCTGGGAACAGGTTCGGGTTCGGGTTCGGGTGGTGGTGGTGGTTCTGGTTCAAGGTCTGTGCCGTCGAGAGCCACCGTGGTGGCAGCGCTCTGGTTCGTCCCCGAGTCCTCCTGCAAACGCATGCCGTTGAGGTTCAGGTAAGGTTTCTTAGGAAGGTTTGCTTTATTGAGGCCCAGCTTTGTAGTTGGTGGCCCCGCATATATTTATGCTAAACAATATTTTTAGAGGAAATATTTATCACAAGGAAAATTGATAGTATGATTTGTGGTATATATTTGGTTGGCTAATCTATCCCGCTTTTTTACTCAGGTTACGTACAAAAGGAAAACACGAGATTTTCTTATTTAGATTTATTTAAGAAGCCTATGTTTCATGCAATGAACAGTGCCATACTACAAGGTAAGCCACATTTTACAACCTAGTGCAGTCTTTGTGAAACTTTTACACCGTCATACCCAATTTATATTTTATCTCAAAACGAACAACAGTCTTTGATGAAGTCAGTCTACAAGATCAGGCTGCAGCAGTTTAAATTAGAAATTTTAGACCGCTCAGTTTTAGTCACATCTCAGTCAGATTTGAGACTCAAATATCACACTTAGCTTTTTTCAAGTCAAGGCTTTTATCTCATTCTTTTAGTGTGCGAGAATTTCTATGTCACTACAAGCTAATGCTTTTGAATCAGTAGAACACATAACCATTAATAGAGACATTAAAGGCATGCATTTTAAAAATAATTGTTCAAAGACATGCATTTTTAAAAGGATGGAATATTGGGGAGTACTTCTTTTAGATTTCATGCCATCTCAATGTTGATCCATTTCTAGGAAAAATAATGGGAACAGGAAAATACCATATAGCTGTCAATCTACTCTAAGCCTAAGGACATACATTTACATACATACATACGTACATACATACATATACTTATTGCACATAAACACAACCTGGAATCTTGAGCCAAAAATGTCATGCAATTTCATGGATTAACATACTGGATCAGGAAAATTTTACATTTATCATTTAATCAAAGTTTCTTGCTTTTATCAGCAACTACACAAAAATTTAAACTGCAATCAGCAAAAGTGCATGATATTAAGGCTCACGAAAACACAGTCTCAGCTCTAACACGTAAACAGTGCTAAATTTTCTACACTGCTGTTAGTGAGGACATTCAGATTTGCTAGTGTTTTACATACGTCATAGTGAGACCCAAAGACGAGGTGACCACATTTTTGGAGTACGCTGAGCTTGTGCAATTTGAGGAACCCAATAACAACAAAGTAGAGAGAAATCGCGCAACACATGTGAACACAGATGAACACAGACAAAGTCAGATATACTCCGAGGAAGCACCCAAAACTCAACGCAGTGTTCTGAACAAAACACAACGAACAGACTGAGACACACAACCGAAGACCAGACAATCATAAGCTGAAAATTGTGGAACATCTGTGCCCAGCCTTTACACAACAAAGAACCATCCATTGTGCCCCTCTCATGAATGGACCATAGCCAGTGATCAACCCAGTGAGCAATCAGAACGATACCAGATGTCATAAAAGGGCCAATTTCTGGACCATATTTTTATCAATCTAATCTGATAGTAACCAACAATTTCTCATGTCTGATATCGTTCATAAAGTGATCTGACTTATTTTATCCCCACTGACAAAGGAGTGGGTTGCCCGCCAGCAGCTCTGTAAATGCGCGGACGGGCAAGCCCCTCGAGGCGCGCCCCACCACAACACTAGACACAGAGCACGGCGACGATTAAAGGATGCAGCCCTACCCCTGCGCTTGCGCGAGCGCTGGTGCCTCCGTCATCGCCGAGCTCGCCCTCGCGGCCCCGGCGGCCCAGCTCAAGCACCTCGGGCAGCATGAGGCGCAGCTTGACCCAGCGCAGGGCCGGGATGTCGTCGCGCTCGTCGCCCGAGTCGAACGAGTGCACCTGGGGGTGGAGGTTACTGGCCTCCTCCCGCAACAGCGCCCACATGTAGCGCGCGCGGTCGCCCCGCCAGTTCGAGTACGCCGGATAGAACGTGTAGGTGAGCAGCTGCTCGGCATCCTCGACCAGCTCGGCCTCGTCGTCCTCGACCTCCTCCTGCGGATCGTCCCAGTCGCGGTCGTACAGGGGGAAGCCCTTCTTGGCCCAGCGCAGCGTGCGCAGCACCACGACGGAGGCCAGCCGCCACAGGCAGCGGCCCCGGGCCTTGCCCAGCGCCTGGACGTTGGCGCTGGCCTCGGCGGCCACCCTGGCCGCGTACGCTCCTTCGGCACGGCGCGCGGCCGCGCGCTGCGCCATGTACTTCTGCAAGGTGATGGCCTTGACGATGCGCGCGAGGCGCTGGCGCCGGGTGCGCACCCCGGGGGCCAGCAGCGACATGGTCTGGATCTCCTGCGCGCTCTGCAAGCACCAGACGCTGAGCGCCTGCACCACGCAAGAGCCACGCGGAAGCGCCCCGCATGGCTCTACGCGAGGCGGCGCGGGGTGCGGCGGCCCCAGAGGTCGCCGTGCTCTGTGCTCCCCGACACCAAGCTCGGCTTGGGCAAGCCTTGGTCTACGCTACTCACTCAGCTGGACCAAGCTTTGCCCTAACCGCCCCGCCCTATCCTGCCTTCCCCGCTCCACCCTCCCGCCCCGCCTCACCCCGTCCTCCAAACCCCGCGTGCTTCATGCGAGGTGGCATGCCCCCGCCCTCTCCGAGGTGCTCGTGCGCGATGAGACGCGACCAGCCTCGGTCCTGGGGGCGCGCGGCTGTCCTGTCTGCACCGGGCTGCCTTCCCTCAGGACAGAGGCTGGTCTCCGTAGTGAGTTGCTCAACACCGTCCTCCCATGCTTGCCTAGAGGTACGTTTTGCGGCTAGGTGGCTTGCATCCCGCTCGGGCCCCGAGTGCCTACCGCGCCTTGTGCACATAACACGTAACGGAGCCCTATAGCGCGGGGCCAGCAGTGTGGCTGTACACAGGGTGTGGATGTGTTCATGCCTCTCCACTCACCGGCGCCGGAGCCAGCTCTCTCTGCTCCTTTTCCTTCGTCGAGGTCGAGTCCCTGTCCCGGGCCCCACCCTGGGCGTCAGACGTGTCGCCGACGACGACATCCTCCCCTTCCTCCTCACCGCTCGCCTCTGGGGCATCAGCACTTTCCTGTTCTCGAGAATCAACGCCATCACCACTGTCCCGCTCAGCGGGAGCGTCTTGTCCTACAGCATCCTCAACCTGCTCCTGGCCCGAGTCAGCTTGCGTCAGTTCTTCGTTCACCTCCTCCTGGCCTCTGCCCTCGCCTTTGTCTTCACTATTTTCACCGTCTGGTTGTGCGTCTCCACCACCCTCTTCATTATCAGCTTGTCGTTCACCTTCTTCGTCTAGGCCTGTACCTTCGTTTGCGTTTGCACCGCCTTGATCTGCGTCGTCATTGTCTCTGTCCTTTTCATCATCTTTCTGTAGTTTCGCGTCTCTATCTTCTCCTTCTTCAGTCTTTTCTTCTTCCTCCTCCTTCGCACCATCACCGTCCTCAGTTTGACTCTTCTGTTCGGGTTTGGAAATAACGTCTTTCTGGTCATCATCCATCTCCTCGGCCTCTTTATTCTCTTCACTAACTTCCCCTTCGACACCGTCACCTTCGATGCGACCCTCTTCGTCAGCACCCGCTTCTGTGCCGTCCTGCTCGATGCCGTCCTGCTCGATGCCGTCCTGCTCGATGCCGTCCCCTTTGACGCTGTCTCCTCCACCGCTGACCTCCTGAACACCACCATCCCCGACACCATCTTCATTTCCAATGCCATCCTCGCCACCGCTGCCCCCTGCGTCGCCGCCTGCATCGCCGCCCTCTGCATCACCGCCCTCTGCATCGCCGCCCTCTGCATCTCCGCCCCCTGCATCACCGCCCTCTACATCGCCACCCTCTGCATCGCCACCCTCTGCATCGCTGCCCTGTGCATCGCCGCCCTCTGCATTGCTGGCTCCTGCATCGCCGTCCTCTACCTCGCCGTCTTCTACCTCGCCGTCTTCTGCACCTCCGACCTCGACACCACCATCCTCAGCTTCCGCGTCCTGTCCATCACCGTCCTCAGTTGTACATCTGTCCTGTTCAACACCATCATCACCAGCTTCGTCCCCCGCATCTACAACATCCCGACTTGATTCACCTTCTACATTATCAGCCTGCTCAACGTTTCCATCCTTCTGCACCACTTCCTCATCTACCCTTTCTCCACCCTTTCCATCCTCCCCACCCTCCCCATCCTCCCCATCCTCATCCTCCTCATCCTCCCCATCCTCCCCATTTTCCCCATCCTCCCCTCCACCTACACCATCCGAATCCACTTCTTCCCCTTCGGCATCTACTTCCCCTACCTCTCCACCATCATCTACCTCGTCGGCGAGGCGCGTCTCCAGTCCTGTATCTGGAAAGCTATCATCCCCACTAACCAGACTCTCCGCACCGCCTACCTCGCTAACCTCGGCCGGTGTGGAGGCCTCTACGGTAGAGGCCTCCTCGGTGCGGGCCTCGTCGTCGGGGATGTCTCCCGTGGAGGCGTCCGCGACGGGGATCTCGTTGGCGGAGACCTCGGTAGCGGCATTCTGGTCGGGAGCTCCTTCGGGGGGAGCTTCTTCGTTGGAAGCATCCTCGGCGGGGGCGTCCCCGGAAGGGGCGGCCCCGGAGGGGGCTCCTTCTGTGGGGACACTGTCTGTGGGGGCAACCTCGTCAGCCCCCACTTCGTCATCAGCGTCCCCTTGCTCTGGTTGCTCGGAGCTTTCCTCCTCCCCAACGTCACCGTCGACGTCATTCTGGGGCGGCCCAGGAGGGTCACCGCCCTCGGCCGACTCATCGTTCTCGGCGGCGTCCGCATCGCCGTCCCTAAGACTAGCACCCTCCTGGCCCCCCGAAGCGTCGCCGGCGGGTTGTGGGGATGCTTCGCTGTCCCCGTCCCCGTCTCCCCCCTCCCCGACGGCACCCTGGCCGTCCTCGCCGGCCCGCTGCGTGGGCGCGACGACGTCCTGTGAGGAACACAATCTCTCTCCGTTAGAGTCTAGTACAAGGTCGCTAATCTACCGGGGAGCGGAGCCGAGATCAAGAAGTCCATCGCGCTCAACGTTCAACGCCGCGTTTTTCGTCTCTTACGTCAGACCCCGCTCTGATCGCATTCGGCCAATGCTTTGAAACTCTCAGTCCTGAACTCTATGTGGCGGCTACTATCACCATGACACACTTTCGGTGACGGGGCGGCGTTGAACGCGACTTTATGCCTAAATCAATGCCGTTCGTACTATGGCATGTGCTCTAGTCACAGGATTTTGTATCAGAGATAGGAAGCCTTGGAAGCCAATCACCAGTTAAAAAGGTCTTCGGGAGCTTTTGCCTCGTTTTATACCAAATGATCCCGGCCGTCATCATCCCCACTAAAAACTATTTTCAATAATTGTTGCTCTATTTACAAGGCCGATATTACTGTACGAATTCACAATAAAAACAATTGCTCTACTTGTATAGGAAAAGTCTAAGATACAATATCGGAATATAAAGGTAAATTGAGAAGAAGAGAAAATAGAGCATACAAAGATGTTAATTTTGTATGAGAGACAGCTTACCTCGTTGTCTCTTGAGCTGGCGCTTTCGCTGTCACCATTTTCGTAACTTCTTCGGCCGTTAAACACCTGGCAGAAAATCGTGCGTAAGCAAAAGTGCGTTATAAATTAAATAAGAGTGTAAAGGAGCTGGACCCACCCTGGCGGCTGGGTCGGTGATGACGCTCCAGTCCCAGTTCGGTGGGTAGGCCGCCGATGTCCTGGGCGCGTCCGGGACGACTCTGAGCAGGCCGGCGTCGAGGTCGGCCGGCTTGCTCTTGTAGTGCTCCGGGGTGCGACCCATCTGCGGCGGCAAGTCATTTATTATCCATCCAATTGAGGTAATGGCTGTGATTATGAAGGTGAAGCTTCCTGGTATCGCGCACACGACACGCCAACAAATGTCGGATTAATAATTAAGCACGGAAGGGCCTCGGCCCCGGCCTCGGCGGCCTGCGCCCGAGCACTACACGGCTATACGGATCCGAAAGTGAATCCGTGGCGCGACTATCGACAAAAATATAGCTCAAGGAAGGAGGGCGAAAGGGGGGAGATGGGGAGGATTCCAGTCGATGACGCGGCAATCCGTCATTGCATCGTTTTGCGCCCTCCGTCAGGTGGCCGCTGTTCACTGCCGCGCCCGCTGCTACCTCCCGCCCCCGTTCCCTCCCTCTTTTCTCCGTAACAAACACCCCAATCTCCCCGCGAACGGAGCTCCCGCAGCGGTTTCCTTTCATACGGGCGACCTTGAGCGGGCTCCGGTGCGAGCGCATTAGTAATTACATGCTACTCCCCCCTGCACGTACGTTGTCCTGGGCGAGCTCGTCGGCGCCAGCGCGGACGAGCTTGTTGTAGACCTCGCCGCCGTCCCGGACGAGGGCGGCGAAGTGCAGGGCGGTCCGCCGCTCGGCGTCGCACACGGAGACGGCGCCCGGAGCCCGGGCCAGGATGTCGTCCACGATGTGGCCGTGTCCGAGGCCCGCGGCCTGCGCACGGTCACATGACGGTAGGTGTTACGTGAAACAAATGGTACACCAGCGCCGCCTTTGTCAAAGCCCCGCCCCGACATACCTTGTGCAAAGGTGTGAGGCCGTTGGCGTCCTTGCTCGTGAAGATTTCTCTGGGCACGGGCTCCTCGGTGCGTTTCTGGAACGTCTCGAGGTCGCCGGCGATGGCGGCCGTGTGCACGTCCTTCACGGCGCCCATGACGAAAGGCACGCCCTCGAGGAAGCGCTTGACGATGGGGTACTTGCTGGTCTCGTTTCGTAGCCGGGCACCGTGACCCTCCCACAGCAGCTGCTGCAGCTTGCCCATGTCTCGGTCGTGGATCCAGATGCGAATGTTAGCCGGCTTGACCACCAGGCCAGCTGCGAGAAACATAGAAGGCAGAGTGTTTGACAAAAGTGGTGGGGAACTGCTGAAGAAAGTTCCATTTCCTTTACACATTCCTGCTTAATGTGCTATGGGGCTACACATCTGGCTGCACCTGCCGCCTGGGCGGTAGGCAGTCCCGTCACGCGTCCATGTCTAGCGGGCCTGCGTACATACTAGGCTGCAGCTGCCGCCTGGGCGGTAGGCAGTCCCGTCACGCGTC